AAACCCTAAAGGTGTGTAGCTTCAATATGATTTAGGTCGTTTGTGCCTCTAGTTGTTCTCACTGTCCCCAGTCCCCCCTAAAGATAAACCCTAAAGTTGTGTAGCCAATGGACTCCAATATGAGTTAGGTCGTCTCCTGTACCTCTAGTTGTCCTCACTGTCCCCTGTAAATATCACCCTAAAGGATCCTAAAGGTTTGAATCCACACCCAAGAGTGTCGGCCTAAGTGATCCAAAAAGTCGTCCTAAGTGATCCTTGGGTCGTTGGGGCTAGTTGGAGTGTATATACAGTCCTCAGGGAATGGCTCATCAATCCATTTTGAGGAAACCGGAGGAGAAAGCCGGAAGATGTTTGGAAGCAATGTAACGTGACCATGGCTCATGTACAAAATAATATGGTTATACCATACCTGGTTATATGATGTTATATGCAATAGGTCATTTCGGGTCATACATTTGGAAGCTTGAAACTCCCATTTCAGCTGAGACGCAATGATATTAAAATCAAAAGTGAAAAAGCATACCCCATCATACCCCAAAGGATATTGTAGAGGAATAATGAGTAAATCACTTGTCTATATTTATACGTGTCTAATCTTCGTTGTTAAAGCAATGTCATAAACCACCCATATGTTGATGGTTGGGAAACCACCCATCAACATGGTGGAACATTGTTGATGGTGGATCCTATTGCTTTACTAACATTATTGGGATTGGTAGTGATTGATTAATAATAATAAGAAGAATAAACACCTTTACTAATTGAAGGGGCACCATTTATAAAGGGAACTATGACTATGACTACTACTATTTTGGGAACCCCCCATATTAATAAATAGGTGTCCTATAAGCATATCATGCAGCATATCATTCACAACATGAATTCACAAACTGTTGCTGTCGCTCTATGGCAACCAGAAATAATGATTCTTTGAACATATGCTATCGGTTGGTGGTTTCAAACATTTTTTATTTTCCATAATATATGGGATAATCCTTCCCATTGACTTTAATATTTTCCAAGATGGTTGAAACCACCAACCAGATTATTATTAACCATCATTAACCATATAATAACCATCAATATTAACCATATATTAACAGTAGATTAACTATTGATTTAATCATCATGTTCATTCAGTTTTCTCTCACACATTTGATGGCCATTTCTTGGGTATACCCCATTTTCAGACACAAACAAAAAAAAACGCTCTGAAAGTGGCCGTTTGATCCTGCTTTTTTAATGACAGATCCAACCCTGAATCTGTCGGATCTCCGGTCTCAATATAAAATATTTACCATGTGGAAAATAACCATGTTTAATAGGTAAAACATCATGTTTATCATCTATGAATGGGCAATTTTCCATAGCTATGTTAAAGAACCAGAGGGTACTACTTATACTTGCCTTTAAAATGGTTGATCCCTGTGCACTTGGCTTTTCAGAGTTCGAGAAAAAACTTTGAATACACTAATATCTATGAGCTACACCAGAAGAACAAAGCAATTGATACATTACAATACATATGAATACTTATACGTGCACATGTATATATATATTACATAATCCTGAAGTCGATATAATATATGTATATAATCACCCTTAAAGTATAACATATATGTTTATATAGTTATATGTAGTTATATGTAGTTATATATAGTTATATATAGTTATATATAGTTATATATAGTTATATATAGTTATATATAGTTATATATAGTTATATATAGTTATATATAGTTATATACAGTTATATATAGTTATATATAGTTATATATAGCTATATTTAGTTATATTTAGTTATATATAGTTATATATACATATATATATATATTATAATTATCATTTTTAATTGAGTAATAACAGCATATCTGAGGCACTTGGTCGCTGGGGCTCCTGCAGGGATGCTGCACTCATCTCCGAGGCGGTCCTGCAGGAAAATTTTGCTTATTTTATAGATGGTTGAGCTATTTAAAATGGTATTTTTTTTTTTTAATAGCTACCTTAAATGACAAGAGGGTAATGTATGTGGTATATCTATGGTATATCTATGGTATGTGTGGTATATGGTTTGTGGTAAATGTATGCTATATGTATGGTGGATATATATATATATATATGGTATATGGTATATGGTATATGTATATGGTAATCCATCTAAAACATGAAAAAACACAGAGGCAACATGATTATTCCTACAGTTTCAAATGGAATCTGAATCTATATTTGGGAATTGTTTTTTTGAGGTTAAAACCACTCTCAGATGGTGTTTGGAGAGCCAGGATATATAGAGGTTATTTTAACATCAAATATAATGGAAGATACATGGAGAATCATGGATAATATTACTATATACTATGAACGAAAGGGTACTGGACTATAAAGGTAGATAATGAAGTAGATATGAAAAAGTAGATATCATATAGTTTATTTACTCTATATATATATATACAGTGTTTGTTAAAGGTAACTTTACTATATGGAGGCTACTTCAAAATCAGATAATGGAAGGTAAATGGGGAAAATTGATTTCTATATTTATGTAGTATTAACAAAAATAGTAGGTCGCGTAATACGTTTTTATCTACTACTATTATACTATAGTATGATGTAGCTTTATTATGGTTTACTATGGACAATCTATAAAGGTGTAGGCTTTTATGATATCTATGGAGGTTACTTTACTATATGATATATGGAATATGCATCCATCCCATGATGGGAAACCTTACAATGGCTAATTAATATATATATAAATATGTATATATATATATATGTGGGTAAATTATAACGACCTCACTGCGACCTCACTGGAATTCATGGTTTATTTTAGGGAAATCATCCCCAAATGGCCCAACAATTCAGGTTAGTGAAATATCATATTTTTTCCTCATATATATATATATGATTATATATGCCATTAAATGCCTATGAATTGATGGCCCTTATTGATGATAGCTAAGCTGGGTTAGTTCACTACAAGCCCGAGCTGACCAGCATGACTGGCTTCACCTACGGAGGGTAACATAGGATCTCAATGGATCTCATGTGAATATACACTGTGAATAAATAATTATATATACATAGTATAGATCGTATTTATATATATATACATAGTGTGTATAGATATATACATACAATGTCTCTATATATATATATATATAGTGTCTATATATATATAGTGTCTATACACATATATATATATAATATACACCTGTAACCGTGTATGTTTGTATGATATGTCTACATTATATCTAGAGTATGACGACTTGTCTATGCTATTTGGAAACAAGATCATGTTTTCATAAGATACCTTCAGAACATATGGTTGTTTCAGAAACACAAACGTGCTTCGCCAGAATTGATGGTCGTTACTCATCATTTCTGGACATGATCCCATTTTTTCTGTCAAACACACTGTTTTGATTGGTCAAAATCCACAGTTTTTCCCACCAAAACAGCAACCCAGTGATTGAATCTTGTTTTGTGGTAGAATCATGCATATGTATGTGTATCTATTATATGCGTATATTTGTTGGTTAAATCCTACATAAATTATACGAAAATATATGTGCAATTCCTGTTTTGGTTGGTAGATACCCAGTCACATCCTTCATAAATGTCAAATGCTGATATAGTTCCTGGAAAAGTCTCTTCAATTGAAAATCAACATCTCTATTAAACCATATAAATCCAGAGTACTATACTCTCAAACTCACCATTTTATCAACTATTGAAGTATCCAACCCTTATTTGTTTCCAATTATAGAAACTGTAGTTGGACCATTTACCATTTTCCAGGTCGCAATCTGGTACCATTCGCCGTGACACGTGCCAGGCGTTCAGTTTTCTGTGCATCTGCTGGCGTTCCCAGCGCGCCAAGAAAGCCCTCGCCGTGGGGCTGGAACCAGGCGCGGTTCAGTGGTTCAGTGCTTCAAAATAGCTGGGGTGTTCCATCAATAAAGGATCCCAAAAGATGGATGGTTTCAATGGAAAATCCGAAAATCACATGGATGATAAATGGGAGTATACTCCCATGACTTTGGAAACCTCCAGCTGGGATTTATGGGTGGAATTGAACATGGCCAGTGGGTAATCCTGGTGTTCTTTCCGTACGGTGCGCGATCACCAGGTTGCCCTCCTGTGTCGATCACCAGGTTTGCTGGAAAATCCACCATGGAGTTTGGGGATGAATCCCATCCACGAAAACGATGATAGGAGGGTAGATCCATTACACTATCCCATTGTTATCCCAAAATTATCCCGGATTTAAACATATTTAAACAATATGAAGTCCGATGAAACTACCATTAAGTCGGGTTCAACTTTTCTTGACTACGTGAAACAGCAGTCTGTTTCTGGATTGTTTGTCTCCTCCAAGTCCGCTTTCAGACATCGACAACTGCCACTGGATTCAAGATGAAGAATCCTTGTTTCGGGTTCCGGTCTCAGTTGCATGCAGATTCTTGGCTGATGCCAGATAAGATGGACTGATGAACTTTCTGAAGGGGGTGAAATGTGGTGTTTTCTTTAATTAATCACACATGATGATCTCTGAGTTGGACTTCCGTGGGCGAGCTCACCATGATAATTCGTTGGAACTGGCCCAGATTGATGTCCCGTTGGGGTTGAGGGAAAATTGAAACCGGTAACCTCCATATTTCATGGGAAAATCGTTGATTTCCATTCGAGATTGTCCCCAAACCAATCCATTCCGAAACACATGGATCGTGTTTTCAAGTAATTGTTGAGATGGAGTCAATTTTTTAGCACCAGGCAGTCTACATCCGATTGATGTGGCAAGGCTTCAATGATTGCTCCAAACCCATATGCTCCATGGTGCTGGATTTGTTTACCAACATTTGCCCGAAGAAAATCACCCCATGGTGCTGGAATATTTACCAACATTTGCCCGAACAAAATCACCCAGTTTTGTAGGTAAATATACCAGCACCATATGGGGAAATGAATGATCCGCAAATCGTTTACGGATCTCTGAGATGTTTGCGGATCTTCAGTTCTGGCGCCTTCAACTCAAAGAGTTGCGCGGATGCTCGGAGCGAAACGCGGATGGGAAACGCTGGGGAAACCATGGCTTTCAGCAGCAGAACTGGTGCAAACGAAACATTTTTTTTTGCTGTTCAAGCTGGGAATTCATGAGGATTTTGTTCACTATGATTTCACTATGAAAGATACAATGTGGGGCCCCCAAGATAGCTAAGTTGGTGAACATAACTCCATTAACTGTGGGTTATGGTACGCAAATAACTATAGTTTTCATGGGGTTTATAAACCAACGTTCACATCACTGGGCGGCCCCACCTTGCAGTGATTTAACTATGATTTAGATAGGGATCGCTCATAGACCAAGCATATGTTTGGATTCTGGCAAGGTTGACGCCCTGGGCGCCGCCACAGGCTCGAGCCGGGTTTTTCCGGAAAACTCTTGATGTGTTAAAACCTATGATTTGTTAAGGTAGCAATGTGGGGCCCCCCCAGTGATGTGAATGTTGGTTTATAAACCCCATTAACTATAGTTATAAGTACAATAAACCATAGTGAAATTGGAGTTATGTTCACCAACTTAGCTATCTAGGGGGCCCCACATTGTAACAATAGTATAACTATGCCAATCCATAAAAGTACCGAAGTATGATTTCCTTGGCTATATTTGTTGATTATTTATTTATATCTATTATGAAATATACTAATTATCTAGTATAATATATATATATTTTAGATGTCCAATTATATACTAATTATATCTATCTATTCATTCTTTGTTGGATAAACCCGTATGAGAAACGGAGAATCATCATGAATATATATGCGTTTTCGCCCAATACACCTTCAAATCCAGCGGTTATGAGCTTAAATTCTACCACATGGGATCTATCACAATGGATTTCATTAATGATATGTTTTTAGGATGTTTTAGGTGATCACCGTGGCACTATTCCATTCCCCACTTTGTAGGTTCTGACTCAGGACTATGGATACCTTCATGGCATCCCTGAACTAAATGGATGTTTTTTCTTTAAAAAAATACGGCTATAATAGATATATATATAACAATAAATATATATAACATATTATTACTGATTGGTGGTTTGGAACATTTTCTATTCTCCACAATATATGGGATACAGTAGTCATCCCAACTGACGAAGTCATATTTTTCAGAAGGGTAGGTCAACCACCAACCAGATTATTATTAACCATCATTAACCATATGATAACCAGCAATATTAACCATATATTAACAGTAGATTAACATTATAAAAAAAAACAATAAAAACAACATATATAATCCATTTATAGATAGATTTAAGCCATGAACCACCAACCAGAAGGTCATCAACATATTATTAACAGTTATTCACTGACATCGACCGCCACGTTGGCGAATTTGGCCAGCTCCTGGCGTGCCACGTGGCCACGCGATGCAAAGAGCTGGATCTGCAGCAGATCGCTCTGCTGGAGGACTCGGCTGGGGAGGATTGGAGATTTCGAATGGCACGTGCTCATGGGATTTTAATGGGATTTTAATGGGATTTAATCGGATTTTCATGGGATTTTAAAGGGATTTAATGGGATTTTCATGGGATTTTAAAGGGATTTAATGGGATTTTAATGGGATTTTAATGGGATTTTAATTGGATTTAACGGGATTTTAATAGATTAATTGAATTTAATGGGATCTAATGGGATTTAATGGGATTTTAATGGGATTTAATAGGATTTTAATTGGATTTAATGTGATTTTCATGGGATTTTAATGGGCTTTAACGGGATTTTAATAGATTAATTGAATTTAATGGGATCTAATGGGATTTAATGGGATTTAATGGTGATTTAATGTGATTTTAATGGGATTTAATGGGATTTTCATGGGATTTTAATGGAATTTAATGGGATTTTAATGGGATTTAATGGGATTTTAATGCGATTTAATGGAATTTCACGGGGTTCATGAGGAGTGTATGGGATTGACTATATATTATACTATATTGATATATTTAATATATTGACTTCATGTTTTTGATCCAATAATACAAGGTCCCCCAGGTATGTTTGTTGGTTTATTGGCCCCATTCACATCCATTCTAACTATAGCTGTGAGCATCATACACCATAGGTGGAGTTACGTTCACCAACTTAGCTATCATAAATCAATATAAATCAGCCACACAATACATCAATGGGAATTTCAGGATCCTAAAATGGAGGTACGTTAGTACCATTTGTCAGGCCATATTCTGGGGGTATATCTCCTTACATAGGCCTGAACAATAGGCCTTATTTAGGTTCCTGAGATGGCCAGCTATCATAAATCAATATAAATCCCACTAAATCCCAATTTTTCTGGGTTAGATCACCATTTTCCTATGCTTCGCCGTTGGTTTATAACAGTTCAACCCAGGGCATCATTTATCACCAGGACAATCGCCGGAACCTCGCCGAAATCAACCGCTTGAGACAGGCCGTGAGCCTGCTCCATAACAAGCTGGAGGCGAAGCGCGCGGATCCGAGATGGTTATTAGCATTTATTACAATGTGGGGCCCCCCAATTATAAATGTTATAAATACCATAGTTATTTGCGTACAATAAACCATAGTTATTGGAGTTATAAACCAACTTATAATCTAGTTATTTAACATAGCCATGGTATAGATGGCCCATCTATAGATGGTTTACCTATTAAAAATGGTGATTTTCCAGGCTATGTTAAATAACCAGATGGTATTACAATGTGAGGCCCCCCAGTGATGTTTATTAATAATCTACTATATAATCATTATAATCATTGTAATATATTATCATCTACTATTTAATCTCATAATCATTAGTGCTAATCAGTACAATGTGAGGCCCCCCAGTGATGTGAACGTTGGTTTATAAACGCCATGAATACTATAGTTAATTGCAAGTACAATAAACCATAGTGGAATTGGAGTTATGTTCACCAACTTAGCTATCGTTTGGGGGACCCACATTGTACCATCTTTAAGTGGCGTGGCGAACCATCTCTTCGACCCGTATGTATGGTACTAAGAAGCTCTAAGCACTTACTATGCATGGGTCTTTTCATATAAAAACGATGTATCTCCACTTAGTAAGGGGTTAATACTTACAGTAAGTGCTTAATACCCATAGTTCGTAACTGTTCGTAGATTTGATGGTGGCCCAAACCTGACATGTTTTCCAGTTTGGGTGTATTGCCTTTTGTTGGTGAATGATGGAGATTGGTTATATCGTTGAAAATAAATCAACAGGCACATATGTATTGACATCTCACTTTTGAAAGAACACTGGGTACGCAAGGTTTGAAGATGTTCTCTTCGGGGCTTCAATTTTGAGCTGTGCCTTTTAAGAATAGCTCCGGTTAGCGATCAACGTGCCAGGTGTCGGACACGCGTTCGGTGCAGAACATGCAGAAACAAGCAGAAGTTCTGGAGAAGTTGAGGAGCGATCAACGTGGGTTTGATCCGCAAATTTCCTGTGTTCACTGGACATTTTCATGATGGAGAGTGAGGGATTTGTCGATGGAAATTCATCAAATGACTGATAGAAAGTGATGGGCAAGCACTTGTTTCAGAAGTATTGCAGTATATTGCATGCAATTATATATATAACATGTCTACAGATGATGTATGATTTATATTAAATATGTATGTATATGGTTCCTCTAGGTTCCTGAAAGCGGAAGTATCGGAGAATCAGTTGAGAACCGCGACATGATAATGACCAGATGGGCATGGCTGAAACTTAGTGCTAAGAAAGGACCATACAAACACTTGATCACAGTTAGTTGCGTATATCCGATGATGAGTTCATGATTAATTACCCATAAATAATTTGATATTTCTGGCTACTCTCTAGCAAACTAAATAACTATTGAAAGCCACCATGTTGATAAGTAAAACATCTATAAATGGGTCATTTTCAACATGTTCCATAGCTTCGTTGATTTACTGGAGGATAATGTCAACTCCTCAGGAGCCTGCGATGATCTGATCGGTTGAAATCGGAGAGCAAAAAGGTGTCAGATGGGTAGTTCAGCCTGAACTTTGCAGGATTTGTAGATTATAACGATTATATAGTAATTCTATGATTAGCACGAATGCTTATGATATTATATATAATAGATAATAATATATTATAATGATTATAATGATTATATAGTAGATTATAATGATTAGTCAGATTAGTCTGGATAATTAGATTACAATTAATGAACTCACGGCGTGACTCGCCGAAATTATGATTAGTAGAGGCATCTACCCCGAATTGGCGGCAAGTTTCAGCTTCTTCCAGGGGTCAGTGAATTACAGTAGTTATTATTTCCCCAGAAATTATATGTCCACTAACTGTTTCTTGGGAAATAATAACTAATGTCACTACTGTAACTACATAATGTTAGTTAATTAACTACTAGTTATATGTTCCCCCCTAACATTAAAAAAAACTCCTAAATGGCTTCTGGTGAGTGTTTAATATTAGCAGGAAGGGACTATGCAGGATGCAACCAGCAAGGACCCTGGGATGTACCTGATGGTATGGATTAAACATTTGCCAAGATGGATACCTATTATATTAGTATATCACTATATATATATATGGTTCAACAGAAGAAATATGAATATAAAGAGACAAATTGTGACAAATCTATAGATAAATTGTATTCATCTTGTAGTCATCTTGTATTCATCTAGTTCTTGATTTGCTTCTATATTCCCAGAATTACCGTTTGCGTATCACAGGTGATCAACTCGTTTGGTTGTGTTATTTGCTCTAAGCCCTGGCCATGAATGGCCTGTCGTGCTTTTGGACGTGCCGAGATGTCCCAGATACCACCAGGTTGTAAGACTTGCAACTCACACATCTGTTCCATGTATCTGGGTAAATTATAATGACCGAACCCTGGAATTATGGTTTATTTTAGGGAAAACATCCCCAATTGGCTTTAATTCAGGTTAGTGAAATATTGTAATTTACCCCCGTGTATGGAATATGTATCAACATTTATTCCAAAAATCACCCAAATGTAGGTAAACATACCATAATATACCATACACGGCATCATTCAGTTTTTTGGGCCGTTGCTGCGCAACGCATTGCCGCAGCTGGGGGAGTTTCAAACGGCCGACCCAAGAGACCAAGACGGCCCGGTTTTAGTTTGTAAGCGCGTGATAGAAACAACGACGCGTAGCATGACAGGCCCAGATGTGATAGGCGGGGTGTCATCTGGGTCATTTGGGCAAGCACTGAAGCTGGAACAAAAAAGAGGTGGAAGAATGGAGAAGTTGGATGACAACACTCCATGGAGAAGTCGTATTGAATCCAATTACAGTTGGAGTGTGACCTGGCAGATCATTCGAAGGTTTGATGTTTTGTTTACGTTTTTTCCCACTTGATAACTCATAGCGCAGTAGAAGTGCAGTAAATGCGCTCCTATTTGTGATTGGAATTGTCTGATATTTCATGGGTCCATTCCTGTGTGTGCAGGTCAATACTCAACTTGATTACACCTTGGTGTTTTTTGATTGATGTTGATTTTCCAATGGTTGCCAATGTCGCTTGCATGTCTACATTCATGATATTTTCATGATCATTCATCTGTGTGTGTGGGTGGCTATCCATGTATTTCTCGAGTCCCTTCACTTTCGTTCAACCCATTGTTTTCGTTGCTTTCCACCCTGTTTTTCACATGTTTTTCTCATCTTGTCACATTGTCAGGGCCCAGAAAACTGGATCTACAGATGGAGAAGGCAGGGGTTGCTGGCTCAATCATATAGCCTCTGGTTATGACTAACAGGGCTAGCCATGGTTTTTCGATGGCCCTAATCGAAATAGATGGTTTACCTGGGTTTACCGATTAAAAATGGATGGATCTTTCGATGGCGAACTGTTAAATGACCAGATGGTAAATGCTCGTTGGTGTTCCTGGCAAATAAAAACTTGGTGCCTTGCTGAAACACCAGATTTCCAGACATTCATCGGGTGCCAAAGAGCACCCGTTTTTCAACTTGAGGGTCACCTTGAGCTAGACCCAGGCATCATGTTGGATCTCTGGAATCCCTTCTTGTGTTCAATGTTCGATTTTCTTCAATTTTCCCAGACACGTATCTGGTTGGTGGTTTGGAACCATGGAATTTATTGGAATTTTATTTCTCCATATATTGGGAATAATCATCCCAACTGACTAATATGTTTCAAAGGGGGTTCAAACCACTAACCAGGTTTTTTTTTGCCCGGAAGGTTAGAATGGTGTTCAATCACTATCCTTCGACATGCTTTTCATACCTTCGCGCAGGGCCAGTGTGTTGGTACCAGGCGAAGAAGCCTAAACCCTCAAACCATAAAACAAACCCTAAAACTCCAAACATCTCTAAACCATAAATCCGAAAACCCTAAACCCTGAAAACTCTGAATCCTAAACCAGAAAACACTGCGAATATGTTCGACAACAGGGCATCCTCAAGGTGGCAGACCGGGCAAACCACGCGGTCTCTGCGAAAGGTTAGCTATGTTTGATGATCATTTTCCCTACAGTTCACAATTCCCCATGAAATCGGCAATTTTAGGGTGTACCACTATATTTGGAAAGTACCCGAACCAATGTATTGCTAATCTAATGCATACCATCATGATCCTCATAAGATCTTATTCCTACTTGAAGAATCTTACAAAAAAAATAAAACAACTGGAGTTTGCCGGTAAGTCGCCATTTTGCACGCAGTTGTCCAAAGAAGTGTTCCCAAAAAGTCATACTTGGGGCTGCATCCTAGGAATGATAAATGGCCAATAACCATGTTATACCCTCCGTTAGATTTATGGGATGATATATATATATATATGTATATATACATGGGATATATAGGCTATAAACTAATTACGGGTTTTATCTTGGATGCACATTGAAGCAGTAACGGCTATATCATACCCCATTATACCCCATAGAACCATTGATGATTTATATCCTATGCGATTCCTGTCTCCCAAATATTAAACACCCTCATTAGGTCCCAAAGATGTGCACATTCCCTACGAAACATTAGACCCAATAGAGTTGATAGTAAAGTTACTTAAATCCCAATGAATCCCCCTTTTAATCCCCATGTTGGTTGATTCAATACACATGAAATATCCCACAGGATAAGTTTTTGATCATCTACATATATATATATATATTTATTTACACACCTAGACCCTCCCAATACCCGAAACAAATGGTACAAGTACTCGTACTTCCAATTATGGGGTAAAACACCCTTTTTACGGGTACAAGCGGAGGGTCTAGGTACATATAGATATACCTACATATACTATGTGTGTGTACATATATACCCTCTGCATATTTAACATAGCCATGGAAAATGGTCCATTTATAGATGGTTTACCTATTAAACATGGTGATTTTCCATGGCTATGTTATAACCACAGGGTACATGTATATAGACATGTTCCGATGTTGTGTGCCACTCGGCTCCGCAGGACCCGCCTGCCTGGTGCACAGCCTTTGCACGTGCACGTTTAGAGGCGCGACTGGGTTAAAATATATTAGGCGTATGATATGATGATTATTTTTAGTATTATTTGTAGTCTTATGTTTCTTCTTATTTTTTAATCTTATTCTTATTTTGATTCTTCTTATTATTATTCTTATTATTATTATTGTGTATCAATATAGTTCTTTGTATTCAATATTCATTGATCGGTATAATTAATTCATAAGGTGTCAATATGTGTACGTGTGATATGTAATGATGAATGTGAGCATTTGTATGTAGGTTTACATGTATTTTCTTCCAGCTAGGGTTTGTGCATCGCCAGGAATGGGGCAACCTCAACCGCCCAAGCTTGTACAAATGATGGCTGAAATGTGGCAAGCGACGACAAACTGCCTCAAATTTGGTTTCCATATAGCTGTTGTATGCTGTTGTATATTATTATAGATATATGTACCAACCTCACAATCTACTTGCAGCAACACTGATATAAATTTGATGTGTACAGCTATATTCCAAGCGGACAAAGTCAGATTTTTTTTTGTGACGAAACTTAGTGACACTACTGGGATGATCCGGTACGAGAAGATGGCCAGGTCGACATTTCAATCTGCTAAAGGAAAAGATGTTGGCCAAGTTTCGCAGCATCAAATTCAGGTACCAGGTATTGCGCCCGTTGTTGGCACATGTTGGAACATTCAAGTCATCTTCAACATTCAGGACGCTCCTGATAGGTATCCAGGGGTCATGTGTGGTCTATCCCCATGTTAGCAGGTCATGAATTGGCTATCCCATGGACCATGGAGTTATTGGTTACTGTACTTCATGTGTTACCCCACCTGAATGGCGCCTCTATCTTCGCTATGAAGTCGGCTAAGTCCCAGAGGTTTCGTGGTTCGTTTGTGTGTTCTTCCTGGCATGGCACCCAAGCACCCAAGAAGCGAACTTCGCGTAGGCATGCGAGTTGCTTCTACCAAGTTGGAGACCACTAGCAGAGCTGCTCTTTGGCGAAACCTGGAGGGCCCCATTTCGCTTTCAAATACTGGCAGTCATGGAAAAACCCTGGGTTAAACAATCCTGGCTAACTAATTTGAGGGGTTATGCCGTGTTACCCCCAAACAGTGAGTTCAAATACTACACTATATATACATATATAGAGCATAATAAATGGTAGTACGGTCTAATTCCACATCCATCTCAAGCTGGTAACATTAACACTTCAACAAAATCCCTGTTGGATTATAAAAAAGGCAACCATGCTCTCCAATTTTTGTTTCGAATTTCGAGTTTCTCCAGAGGGATCACTAAAGGGTTGGCCTTTTGTGGCCTCGTTTTTTTGTGACAAATCGGATGATCCCCCAACAAGCCACGGTGTAGGATCATCCCAGGACTAGTCAGAACTGCAGAAAAATCATCCATTTGTCGATGGGATAAGCCACATAGGGGATACTGAAAAGGGGCCTTACTAGGCATGGTTATGAATTATGAATGTTATTTCCTAAGTGATATGAGCCTCAAAGTACCATGGCCATCCCCTAGCCTTGTAAACCAAGCTTGCTAGCGGGCACCACTCTGGGGATGTTTTCCAGTGGGTATCCGTGAAACTGCTCCAAAAGCTGAGGAAAACCCATGAAAAGCCATGGTTTCCCTAGAACACATGATCTACAATCGTGGCTTCTCCACATCTATGTCAGTCTACAGTAGAGTATTGTAGTCTGCCCAGAACTGTGAGACACCCCTTTTGTTGTTCTCATCCTAACCAATCTCCCAAACAATATGTCCATTGTTTGTAAGTGGTTCAACACCGTGGGTGGTAAGTCTCCGATTAGCGGGGTTGTCCCATAAATACAGATATCAAATGATGATGAATGCTATGGATACAGATACAGATGCCTGTGAATTCATGCATACAAATACATTCATTACTATTTAATATGTTTTAAATATAGAACATATATCATATATCTCTAATGTATATATATATATACATGTGTATATATACATGTTTGTATTGATATATATATATATGTACATATATGTAATGGGTAAAGCAACTCCATTTCCCCAAGATATCCCCCGTGATGTCACCGAGTTCTGCGGTCAGGTCATCCCACCGCGCAATTTTGCAGGGCTTCCACACGCAACCCTGTGTGGTTCGGGGGGCCCAGCCGCGTAGCCGTGGAGCTGGGGGAATATTAGTGTCTCTATATGATTTATTTGTCTCTATATATTATATATATAATGTATTAATAAAATAGATACATAAGAAATCAACAATATTGTATGGGTTTTTTTTCTAGAGTCTCTTTCTTGCCCTTGAGATTGGTTCCAATGTATTTTGTGCACGTATATATATATATATATTACATATATATATATATATATACATAATATTTATATATATGTATGAAATAGTATAATATATAATATGACCCTTCCCATTTCTTCTGGGGACAAGTTCTCCCATTTTCGAGCTACCCTTATTGGGTGCCATCGCCCAAGCAGCTTCCCCTTCCATGAGGAGTTTCAGAAGGGCTACTGTGCGCTTCATCGAGTGAGGGGCAAGACCTCCTTGTGCTTTAGCTGGGAACCCCAGAGACGGTCTGAGTCAATGCTGGGAAGAGCCATTTGCATCCATTGATGTGTTTTAATTCTCTTTTATGTTGAGCGTAAAGGTTGTGATGCTAATTTATGGTTGCCAGTTTCAGCTGTTAATTTTTATTGCGCCAGGCTTTTTAACAGGATGCTGATCCTCGAGACAGTGTAGCCCGTTCCATTCAATGGTTAATCACCATGATATCCCTATTTGAAATGTCCAGTTGAGTGCTCAAAAAACCCAATTTTCAGACGCACCTGTTTGATTGATGGGTTTCTGCATCATTTTGATTGGAGGAAACATCCGCTTCGGCTGGTTGTTGAGGCTATGTATGCACAGGATGGCGGCCTCATATTGGGGCTATATGTATAGAAGGTGTTTTCATGGCGTTTTAAGTATTTCACTTGGGTGAAGAGCAGGTTGAGGTCGGATACCGACGACAACAACACTTAACCGTTCCTATGCTGACCGATCATGGTTGCTATTTGAAGCCATGGCCCATTTATTGTTGATGATGTTCATGTTGTAAATGGTGATTGGCCATAGCTGTGTAACAAGTTACCAGAGGTGATACAATGTGAGGCCCCCAAGATAGCTAAGTTGGTTTATAACTCCAATAACTATGGTTTATGGTACTTATAACTATAGTTACTGGGGCTTATAAACCAACAAACATCACTGGGGGGCCTCACATTGTAGGAATAGCAGCACTACCTTGGTTCATGAATAATCCCTGGTGATCCCAGCATCCTCTGAGAATGTGTTCAAACCCCAAAACCACTCCCAAGTACAGTCTTAGGTGGCATTTGGAGCTGTACAGGTAGGTTTTTTTTGTTTTAAACAGTAATATCAAGAGTAACAAAATATGATACAGTAGTTGTAGAAAAGTTAAGGCATAGTAATAATCAATCCCATAGGATCCATGTATGGTATATATGCTAACATTTGGGGTATATTGATGGTCAATGTTACCATATATAGCATACATGGATCCTATGGGTTTTGCAATGGGTTATATTATGGGATATATTATGGGATATATATATATATTCTGGTGTATACGACATATATCCCATAATATAACCCATAAACCAACCATCGCATAGACTTATGATTGAGAGGTTTTTTGTATACATTATACGTAATATAGATTATTGTTTTATTGTAGATTCTTTACTTTATGATAGATATGTTTACATAGATATTATAACACATATCTTATTGGTGGTACTGATATTGGGGTTTGTCTGAAAATAGGGTCCCCAAAAATGATGGTTTACAATCATTCTCTCTAACAAAGCAGCCATGTGGAGGTATATACATCTTTTTCAGACAAAGTCATTTCACCTATCCCCGCTTTCCAACATATTCGTAGGAAGATGGATTTCTATTGAATTGGTATTATATAGTTTCTATTGCTTATTGAGACACATATTGAATATGCTATTGATGCTTTCTTTACATTATTACAGATGCTATTTCTTTTTATAGATGTATTGGTATATATAAAATAATATATATATATATATGGGTAAATTATAATGACCTCACTGTGACCTCACTATAATCATAGTTAGTAAGGGAAATCATCCAAAATGGCTCAATGCGGTGGCTGGATTTGAAGAAGTCGGAGCAACGACCTCACTGAATAAACTCACTTTTTTGAAATTGTTTATTAAGTCTCGCTTGCAGGCGTGAGCCGTTCCATGAAGACTTCCATTCATCGGCATTAAGCAAGGCAGGACAAAAAAACTGTCTATGCACAGTTTGCCTGCTAGCGCCAGCTTTTCTGGCGCGAGGCAGCAACCAAAGCACTGTGGGGTGCTTACTTGAGTGTGCTTCTTGGTAGCAAATATCGGCTGCAAATATCCAGCGTTGTGTCTGCTAGAAATGCATTTTATGTGGATCGAGGCATTAATGTGTGGATTGGCCCACGATGACAATCACCTGTTGGTCACGCATTTGGATGGCTTCATGCACAACTTGCATTTGTTGTCTTGTGGCTTGGCTGCAACAAATGACATGTTACTGTCGATGATGGACCACAGTACTCTTCTTTCCACAGCACTGCTAAGATTTGGTGTGGATTCCATCGCTATCATCAAGCAATGATCCGTGGGAAACCTCTCATGCTGCGTGCGAAGCAGCTGCGGAGCAGGCCGCAGGCAAGTGAGCGTTTTTCTTCATGGACATGTGTGTACGTTGAATCTTGCCCAGCAACACTGCTGTCTTGCACCAGGTAAAACCTTCTGTTCTTGCCGAGTCGGCAAGCGCCCAAGATCTTTTATTTCTCTGCGATGACGCTTTATTGAGCAAATT